CTTTTGCTCTATTTAAACTTTCTTCTTTTCACTCTGAAATTTTTGTGTAAAACATAATAAATAACCCTGGATATTTGACTTCATTTCTTTAGAACTAATTTTGAGTAAAAATACTCATATTTTCTTAAGTAATCACCACTTTTCCTAAATGTATGACTTGTAAAGATTTATCACATTCACAGATAAAAAAAATTGGCCTTTCATATACCTCAAGATATTATAAAATTACATCATACCTAAGAAAACAGAATTAATGAAAGTATTCAGTTTAATTTGCAAATTTCACTTTATAGACAACTTTTAAGTGTCTTGAGTATTTAAATAATTCAGTGTTTAAAAAGGCATTACCCTTGAACGATGTTTAATGAAGCACTGAAATTGTTTTCTAACAGTATTTGACATTATAATTTTTTTACTTCATATATGATAAGACTTAAATCATCTATTTGGAAATAGATAACAGGTGCCTTCTGATAGAGTTTTTTGAAAAAAAAATTGAAAGTTATTTTATGCTAGTAGTATTAAGCTTAGTTAAAGAATATGGATACTGTGGATATTAATGCTAGAATATGTTGAGGTAACTGCTTCTTCCACCTGATGAAACAACTCCTTTCTCAGTAATGAGATGAATTCTAGATGCATATTATGGCAGAAATCCCACAACTAGAGATAGTAGGCACACAGGTATATACTCCAAAATAGTACATAATAGGTTCAGGATGAGGTCAGTAAAAACAATACTCACACTAAATATTAACCAACATTAGATAGAAAACTCAAATGTTAATATCTATAAACTATATTTGTTAAGCTTACCTGTGTCATCTAATAATTGTTCAGCCTGCCTAAGTGTAAAATCAGAATTGCTAATATTTTTTCTTTGACTCATGGATTATTTAAAAATGTGTTATTTAATTTCCAAAAATTTGGAAAAATTTTGTTAACTTTGTTACTGATTTCTACTTAAGTGTTGTTGACAGAGGACATAACTTGTATGAACTGTTATACTTGTATGCTGTTGAGTGGAGTTTGTTATAAATGTCAATTTGATCCACTTGGTTGATGGTGTTATTCAGTAATTTTACATCCTTGCTGATTTTCTCTCTACTACTATTTATTACTGTGAGAGGAGTTTTGAAATCTCCAGCTATAATTGTGAAATTATTCTTGCAGTTCTGTCCATTTCCTTCATTTTGAGGGATCAGTGGTTGAAACATAGACTTTTAGGATAATTATGTTTTCTTGTTGAATTGACACTTTCAATTTTCCTGATTTTCCTCTATCCATGGTAATTTTCTTTGCTTTATAGTTACTTTGTCTGGTATTACTATAGGTATTCTAACTTTCTTATGATTTATATTTGCATTTTATATCTATTTCTATCCTTTTGAGATACCTGTATCATTAAAGTTATAGTGAGCTTCTTTAGGTAGCATATAGTTGACTCCTTTTCAAGATTTTTTTTAAAATCTGTCTTTTAAATGGTGTATTTAGACAATTTATGTTTGTCATTATTGATTATGTTTGGATTTAGGGCTTCTGTTTTATATTTTGTTCTTTTTGTTTGTTTCACTTTTTCCCTTACCTTCCCTTTTGAGTTATTTGAACAGTTTTTACTATCCCATTAAATTTTTCTCTTGTAGTTTTGATTATGTAGCTTTGTACTTTTATTCTTTTTTAAGTGGTTGCTCAAAAACATTTAACTTTTCACAGTTTACAAAGAATCAATACGCTAACATTTCAAGTGTAATGCAGAAACTTTATCACAGTATGGATCTGTATACCTTTTCCTCTTTGGTGTACTTTTCATATGTATTACATCCGAGTCAAAACTCATCAGAAAATGTTATAACTTCCCTTTCTGTTTGTCGAGCACATTTTAAAGAGTGCAAGAGAAGAAAATTCTGTTACATTGACTTAGGTTTTTACCATTTTTGTTTTTCTTCCTTTATGCCTTCTGGCTAAAGAACTTCCTCCAGTGTGTGTGTGCTTTGTTTTTTTGCTTTTTAGCCTGTTGGCTGCTGCTTTCAAAATCAACATATGAATTTAAGGTAAAGGTAGTCCAGAAGGTCTGAATTGTGGGTGCTTTCTCAACCTAAATTTAACTTTTCTTAATCTAACTTGACTTTTGGTCTTTGTTTCATGTCACTTTAGCCACTCAGTGCTTAACTATTTCACTAGCTCTTCAGGCTTCTGGAACAAAAATGTGGGACTTTTTCGTTTTTGTTCTTCCTATTTTATCCAGCTTTTTCAGTGGTTGAGGGGAGAGTTGGGTGATCCATGTATTTTACCATTATTTGAAATGAAAAAGCTCTCAACCAATCAGTTTTGCAACTTTAAAATAATAACTCTTCTGCCTGCCAGACAACATTCTTTAGACAGTGTATTTTTGATAGCATCTGTAAAGGGGAAATTAACCCAAAAGTACTGTTCACATGGAAAGTAGCATTTTTGAAATAATTGCTTTTTTACATTTCTCATTAAAAAAAAATCAGCTTCATGGAAATAGTTTACATGCAACAAAATTCACGGGTTTTAAATGTATTCAATGAAATATCAGTAAATTGATTATTTTCATAAACTTCCAGAATTCCTTTTTCTTGGCAATCTTCCACAACCTTTGCCTTAGGCAACCACTGCTCTGATTTATAGCATTATAGATTTGCCCATTTCTAACAATTTATATAAGTGGACTCTTTATTTATGCCATGTATATAAAGTATATTTGGCCTTATTAGCTTGGCAAAGTGTTGTGCAAATGCTCTGTTGGATGCATTTGTAGTAAATTGTTGCTGAATAGTAACTAATTGCCTGATTATACCAAAATTTGTTTATCCATTCTCCTTTTGATGTGACACTGCCAAATTGTCTTCCAAAATGGCTATTCCATTCCAAATCCTTAACTAACAACGTATGAGTCAGTATTCCAGTTGTTCCACATCCTCACATCTTCTGATGCTGTTAATCTTTTGAATTTTAGTCTTCTAAGTGGGTGTGAAGTGGCATCTTAATGTGGTTTGTAGCTTCATGTCCCTGACACGTAATGTCATTTTTGATGAACTTACTATTTGTGCATCTTCTTTTGATTTTTTTTACCCAATTTTTTTTAGAAGTTTTTAATTTAAATTCCAGTTGGTTACATACAGTGTAATATTAGTTTCAGGTGTACAATATAGTGGTTAAATACTTCCATACAACAAGCAGTGCTCCTCATAACAAGTGTACTCCTTGATCCCTATCACCTGTTTCACCCGTCCCACCATCTTCCTCCCCTCTGGTAACCATTAGTTTTGTTCTCTATAATTAAGAGTCTGTTTCTTGGTTTGCCTCCCTCTCTCCCTGCCCTCCCTTGTTCATTTGTTTTGTTTCTTAAATTCCACATGAGTGAAATCATATGGTGTTTGTCTTTCCGACTTAATTTTGCTTAGCATAATACTCTCTAGTTCCATCCACATCATTGCAAATGGCAAGAGTTCATTCTTTTTTGTGGCTGAGTAATACTCTAGTGTGTGTGCGCATGAGCGTGTGTGTATCACATCTTCTTTATCCATTCATCAGTCCATGGAGACTTGGGCTGTTTCCATAATTTGGCTATTATAGATTTTTATCCAGTTTCTTAAAATCGGGTTTTTCTTGTTACTGAGGTATGAATTCTCTACATATTCTACAAAAAAATTATTTGTTAGATGTAATGCAAAAATTCTCCCAGATTGTAGTTTGCCTTTTTATTTTTCAAATGATGGCCTTGGGAAGAATTTTTATAATTTTGTTGATAATTTTTTGTTTTATAATTTTGTTTGAAATTTTGATGAATTTTATAGTTCATGCTTTTGTGCCCTAAGAAATTTTGCTTACTGTCTTCGTCATGGAGCTATCCTCCTGTGTATTTTTTCCAGGTCCTTTATAGCTCTAGCTTTATATTTAGATTCAAAGACTATACACGTAAACTGAAAAAAGTCAATGTTCTCTTTGCTGACCTATCAGAGAGTGGTGGTTGTGTTTGTCACATGGTGTTTTGGAAATAGCTGTCCAGAATAGTTTTAAACTAGGGGTAGATATTCACTTCAAGATATGCGGTGACTTGTTAAAACTCATTCTGTAGGTCATACTACATTTCAGTCTGTACAGTGGGTGAATACTACACTTTAATATTTAATAAAAAAACAAGTTATGAAGAAAATATATCATTCTAGGATTTTCTTTTTTTTCCCTCTTTCTCTCTTCCCCCATACCTTTTTTTCCTTCCTGCCTCTCCATCATATCTTCCTCTCTTTCCTTCTTTCTTGCTTCATTCCTTGTTGATTTTTCTTTTTAAAAAATTTGGGTGTCTTTTTATCTATGGTATTGTGTAGTTTCCTAGCTGAGGTGTTCCCTAAGTAGGAATTAGTTCTTGAGATTAGATAATAGGGTATTCTTTTATAGCGGCATGTTTGCATTACTAAGCTTGTGTACCCTAGGGATACTGGAATTAATGTTTGTTGCTTTATTATACTACGAGAAAGTACTTGGGAAAGATAAGGGACTACATGCAGTTGCAGAGACAGCTATAACTCATGGCCACTTTACATGTGGAAAAATTAGCTGTTAGTAGTGTAATTTTCTGTAATTTATTGGGAATTGGACATTTTGCATTATATGATAATATTCCCTCATATATTTATGACACAACTGTTGTAAAATGTCCAATTAAGGCAGAGCCTAAACTTGATGGTGGGAGGAAAGGGCTTGCTGTGTTCTAGTTACAGGAATACTATCATTTTGAGGACTGAGATTTGTGATAGAAGTTAGCAATAATGTAGATTTTTAAATCCTATGATGGAGTAACATTTCTTAAATCTGTCTGTGTTATACCCTCTTAAAGTTACAACTTGTTAGTGTGCTGTTGATTTAATGGTCTGAATAAAATACTCCTTAGTTCTCTTTGCTACTGCCTCAAATGCACTTTACAGGAAATGTATTCTTGGTTGGGCTAAAAAAATTGTTCTTTTTCTTTGCCCTAGGATAAGAAATGGGTTCTCAATCATGAAGATGTCACGTTGGGAGAACTACTGGGCAAGGTATGTAGTCAGCTGAGCTTACAGTGTCTGTGTATTCTACAGACTTCTTCATTTTCTTCAAAGCTTTTCTTCCATTCCAGCACACAGCAAGGCACATTCTCACAGGAACCTAGAATAACACTATACCACATCTGTTACAAACACTGTGATGGTCACTGAAATAAAAAGGGGAAAATCTTTGAAAAGTTTAAGGATGATTCTTGGCTTTTTAAAATAGTATATGTATGTTTTTCTCTGGAAGAACTAAAAGCTGTAATGATTTTATTGCAGTGTGGTAAAGCCAAAACTAGTGATCTGAGATTGGAAAAGAAGCTGTGACGTAATAAAAGTTTAAACACTCAGTAGGCTTGTTCCATTTGTTTCTGGTTATACATGATAGTTCAAGAAAAGTGACTTACTGCTCTTGAAGATTTCAGGATTGTGTATAGAATCTCACTATGTGACAACACTAGATACATTATTTCAATCTAATAATTATGTGGATAAGACATGTTTCAATATAAAGATTGATTTTATAGCCAGCTCTGGTAGTGGTCAGAGAAGGTAGCTATATATGATGAAAGTCCCTTTTTTCCAGACTAGTTTGAAATTTCTTCCAACTCATAGGCCAGATGAAAGTGTATTATGTTTAATAATAATGGCAGACATTTTATAATCATTAATCAAATGGGCTATTTGCAAATTTATTAGTAGCTTTTTTATGATTGAGTTCTAATGGATAAATATGACTTTGTCAATGAGTTAATTAGTGCTGTTCTGTTTTGAAAGTTTGAATTGAGTATAGGCTTACAGTGCAATGTGAAAAATAGTATAAAATTCAGATGTTTGGAGAAAACTGTGATGAATGTATTTGATCAATACTAGACTTAGAGCTCAGCATTTTAAATAAAGAAATAAATGATTATTAATTTTTTTATTCAAATATCAACTGATGAGTTGACAATCCTTATTTTTTTTTAGCTGTGAATATGTTGAGAAAGTAAATCCCTAGTGAAGTAATCCACTTTGCAGGATTCTTCATATTATTTTAAAATATCCTTTCCAAATGGAAGAATTAAATTGCTGTTGGAAAGCAGTTTCTATTGACTGCTAATAATTACTTTGTAAGTAAATTCTAAAGAATCTCAAGTCAAAAGCAGTAGCTGATGTGTTTATTTCATTTGTGATGTGTTCATCAATCCTAAGGAAGTATTCCTTCTTTCCATTACTTTAGGTCAGTAAGTCAGTAGCAATAATTGGGCCAAAAATTATTACAAGGAAATTAAATTTTCTTGAAAACACAACTAAAATATTGTAAAATTAAACCATTTACTAAAATAGAATGGGTTGATAAGGACTGCTTTTTGAGTACTAAGCAAAAATATTTTCAGTTAAAGAGAAATATTTCAGTTATGTTTATGTTTAGTTTACTATGTGAAATATGTATGGTATGTTAGGAAAGGATTTTAACCTTTAGCTCCTTACTAGGGTCATTTCAAAGAATAATATTTTTTCAATGACAAGACAGTAGTATGGTGTCAGTTTAAATAAATTTAATCATTTTTAAAAGTTTATTTATTTTGAGAGAGTGAAAAGAGAGAACACGTGTACGTGTGCATGAATGAGGGAGGGCCACAAAGAGAAGAAAAGGAGGGAGACAGAGAGATAGAGAGAGAGAGAGAGAGAGAGAAATCTCAAGCAGCCTCCACACAGTCACAATGGAATATTATTCAGCCATGAAAAAATAATGCAATCTTGCCATTTGCAACAACATGGATGGATCCAAAGGGTATAATGCTAAGCAAAGTAAGTCAGAGAAAGATAAATACCATATGATTACAGTTATGTGTAGAATTTAAGAAACAAAACACATGAACAAGCAAAAAAAGAGGCAAGCCAAAAAATACTCTTAACTATAAAGAACAAACAGATCATTACTAGAGGGCAGTGAATGGGGAGGATGGGTGAAATAGGTGAAGGGGGTTAAGAGTGTAGACGTATCATGATGAGCACTGAGTAATATTTGGAATTGCTGAATCACCATATTGTACACCTGAAACTAATATAACACCGTTAACTACACTGGAATTAAAATTTTTAAAGAAAAAAAATGCTATGAAATTTTGCTGACAGAAATTGGATGTAAATATATGTACATATATAAAATACTTTATTAAAACATTTTCATAATTTTCAATTTATTAATACATAAAACTTACACACCTTGAACTATTGGTTAAGAGTTACATTAATCTTAAAATGAACTATTGGGACCTCATCAAAATAAAAAGGTTCTGCACAGTGAAGGAAACAATCAGCAAAACTAAAAGGCAACCAGAAGAATAGGAGAAGATATTTGCAAACGACATGTCAGATAAAGGGTTAGTATCCAAAATCTATAAAGAACTTCTCAAACTCAACACCCAAAAAACAAATAATACAGTGAAGAAATGGGCAAAAGACATGAATGGACACTTCTCCAAAGAAGACATCCAGGTGGCACACTGACACATGAAAAAATGCTCAACATCACTCATCATCCAGGAAATACAAATCAAAACCACAATGAGATACCACCTTACACCTCTCAGAATGGCTAACATTAATAACTCAGGCAACAACAGATGTTGGTGAGAATGCGGAGAAAGAGGATCTCTTGGGTGCAGCCACTCTGGAAAACAGTATGGCGGTTCCTCAAAAAATTAAAAATATAACTACCCTATGACCCAGCAATTGCATGACTAGGTATTTATCCAAGGGATACAGGTACGCTGTTTCGAAGGGACACATGTACCTCAATGTTTATAGCAGCACTATCGACAATAGCCAAAGTATGGAAAGAGCCCAAATGTCCATCGATGGATGAATGGATAAAGAAGATGTGGCATATATATACAATGAAGTATTACTTGGCAATCAAAAAGAATGAAATTTTGTCATTTGCAACTAAGTGGATGGAACTAGAGGGTATTAATGCTAAGCGAAATTAGTCAGAGAAAGACAAATATATGACTTCACTCATAGGAGGACTTTAAGATACAAAACAGATGAACATAAGGGAAGCAAACATAATATAAAAACATGGAGGGGGTCAAAACAGAAGAGACTCATAAATATGGAGAACAAACTGAGGGTTGCTGGAGGGGTTGTGGGAGGGGGGATGGGCTAAATGGGTAAGGGGCATTAAGAAATCCACTCCTGAAATCATTGTTGCACTATATGCTAACTAATTTGGATGTAAATTGAAAAAAAAAAAAGAGTTACATTGATCTGAGACCTTAAACCCAATAATTAGCAGACCCCTAGTTTAGTTACTTATTGTTCAACAATAGCATTGAAGCTTATTATAATACTTGCATATTAGGATTAGAGTTATGTAAAAAATACATAAGCACACCTAAAAACTTGAGTACTAAGAAATAGCTGTTGGATTAGCTCTATAGCTCATCCTTGTAATATTTTGTTTCATCTTAAAAATTTAAAAAAATGACTTCAACCTTGAAATAACGCACATAAAAGTCAAAATATGTTAGAGACTTAGAACAAAGTTAGGGATTTATACATTTGGTAGAAACCCAACATGGGTGACACTGGCATTTGGATAAGCATTTCCTCTTCCTTGGTACCTTTCAGAGATTGACAGTCTGCTGACGGGTGACAGTCACTAGTGGGTCTGGTTCGATTGCCTCTCACCTATTGCTTTACGCTCTTCAGCTGACATTTGACTCTGTGGATCCATAGCAACAGCCACCTCATGGAATCTTTGCTCTATCTTGAAACATTAATGGTTAACTTCTTAATCCAACAACATTTAGAGGTTGGGGGTAAAGAGAACTAGGAGGCAGGAAACAATGTCTTTCTGATGGTTTCAACTTGAGTTTCTCTTTTTATCCTGTTCCAATTTTTTCCCTGATTTTCCTTTTCAGTTCTCCTCATGCTTCAATCCCCCAAAGGGTAGGTGGGTCGGGTAGTATTTTTAAAGTTGGAGGATTGACAAGAGTAACATTTCCCATCTTTTATTTCTACTTAAAACTCTGAGTAAAGCTAAAAGAATACTTTGATTAATTCAAAATGCATCATGTCATGTTTTCCTTGTATTTTGCAGAGATTTATGTGGCAGTCTTAGACCCTAAACAGTACATGTATTTGTATTTTCAGGGGAATTTTGGTGAAGTATATAAGGGCATATTAAAGGATAAAACTGCTGTTGCTGTTAAAACATGTAAAGAAGATCTTCCTCAGGAACTGAAAATAAAATTTTTACAAGAAGCCAAGTGAGTTTCCTAAAGTAATATTAAACATGTATTTATAAGTTACTATTACAACATTGAAATATGAAGTTTGGGATTATCTTAAATTATGATTTACTGAAGTAGAAGGAAGCACTTTCCAAACCCTCACAAGTAAGCACTTACACAATATAGAAACAAAAAGTTTATTTGTTTTTAGTTGGACTATAGAATGTTTATGCAATCATGGTCAAAAGAACCAGATGCTAAAAAACAGTGAGCATTCTTCAGTATTGGAATATTGCAGTGTTTTTTGCTTTTATCACATATACATACATTTATATGTATGTATATGTGTATGTATATGTATATGTGTATGTATATGTGTATGTATGTATATGTAAAGACAATGTGATTGTCTTTATAATAAAAATATTATTTTAGTCCATATACAAAATACACAATTGATGTAAATACATTTAGATATATATAATTATATCTATCCAACCCTCCTTAGATGTTTTCTCTTGATTGTATTTTCTGAGCTGTTAGCTTTCTTTTTGGAGAAACTCAGATTTCTTCTTCAACTCCTTGTTGGGCATTTGTTCCAAAATTTGTACATTGTTTCTTTTCTAATCTTCTAGGATAATTGTCTTCTCTTTTTTTCTATTAGCTAAAAGTTAATGTTCTAATACCCCTGTATTGTGTGTGGTTAATAGTATTCTGTTAGCAGTAAAACCCACAACACAGTACAAAACAAATGGAAAAATGTTTTGGACAAAATAAGGATGGACTCTCTGAGATGCATGGATATATGGATGGGAAAGAAGGAAGATACATGGATCCATGTGCTGTAAAGGGAGAAAGGGAAAGTGTGTGTGTGTGTGTGTGTGTGTGTGTGTGTGTGTGTGTGTCATGGTGTAGTGTATAAAATTGAGGTTTCTATAAAGTGCTGTAAAAGAACCAAGCTTATGGCAATGAGAGAACTAAGTGCCATAGGATGGAACATTTTCACGGATGTTTGTTCATTCAGCATCTAAAAGTGAATATTGCTAGCAATGGATTAACCTAGTTGGTGCGTTTGTTAAATATGATCTAGAGAATAAAGATGTAAACTTTTTTAACTGACATTAATTTTTAATGTCAGTTACTGGTAGGTTGAAAATATGGTATGATATGGGGCGCCTGGGTGGCGCAGTCGGTTAAGCGTCCGACTTCAGCCAGGTCACGATCTCGCGGTCCGTGAGTTCGAGCCCCGCGTCAGGCTCTGGGCTGATGGCTCGGAGCCTGGAGCCTGTTTCCGATTCTGTGTCTCCCTCTCTCTCTGCCCCTCCCCCGTTCATGCTCTGTCTCTCTCTGTCCCAAAAATAAATAAAAAACGTTGAAAAAAAATTAAAAAAAAAAAAAGAAAATATGGTATGATAAAGGCATGCTATCAGACTTGTATTTCATAGGCTGATTATTTTATAGGTGGTATTAAGGTACAAGGTTATATATTACATTATTTTTTTTTAAAGCTAGTTTTCTTGCTTTCTAAATTGTGACTGTTTTATTGAGAAATAAAGTATTAAATTTCCTAAAGTGGAAAAATCCATTTTCTAAAGTAGAATTACAAAGTTTTATGTAAAAAATGAGAATTGTATCTATGCACATTCCCAAATGTCATTTAATAGATGATAGAACTATATATTTAGATATTTAATATGGAGTCCATGCTGGCTATTTTGTGGAATTTCTTTACTAAGCAGTTTCCAACCTAAGAAATGACACTTTGGATTAGGGTCAAACATTCTAAGACTTCGTTTTTAATTCTTCATAGAAGTTGAAAGCTCAAGGTTAGTGACAGAATATTTTCCTCATCTCTAGAATTTTTTCTACTCTTCTATCTTTTTTCACTTATAAGTCATTATATATTTACAATCTAAGGCATTTTTCTTGGAGTTATCTCTGCTTTAGTTGGGCTTATACAAAACATATATAAACTGTTTTTTCTTTCTCCCAATAGTGATTTTTTCATTCTCTTAGGAAACTGCATTTTTCAAATATGAGTGAATTTATAACTATGTCAGTAGGGTAATATGGAATAAGATTTGGTAATAGAAATATTCAGGGTAGATGGGCCTTTGAGGGAATCTAATTTATTTTAACTCATGCTTGGAGTTCTATGGATGAATCTGTGCTATTTTTATAGCCCTCTGATGAAATTTTGCCTTTATCCAAACAAAGTCCCCTTTGTTTCAGCTTCAGTGTATATTGAAACTGTTACTAAATTATTTTTGAACCTGTAGTCCACTTTCTCAAAACTTGAATTTTTAATATTTTGAAATTGATCACTATAATTAAGATAGTATTTTACAAAATCTAATGAGATGATCAGCCTATAAAATTTACCAATATGAATTGAATTCTTATTTATGTATTTTCAATCAAGTGTGTACATAAAAACAAAACAAAAAGATGCCAACCTAGCAGCTTATAGTTCTGGTCCACTAAATGCTTGTCAGTTACGCTTTTGTGGTAGTGGCTAAAACCAGATACTTGGAAGGGAGTGTAATGTTTGGGACTAAGTAAGATGTTCAGGTTTAGCATGATTATTACTCAGAGTGGATAATAATTTTTAAATGAATATTGAATTAAGGAGAATTGATTCCTTTTACCTATAGTTTGCTAATATTTATTTAAACTTGTATACATCCATCACTTATCATAATTTGGTTTCATATTGAAGCTTTAAAAAGAGAATCATATTGACTAAAGTATATTCTACTTGGGCATGCTGTTGATGATCATAAATTAATGCTTTTTTATTTAAATGATAACTGTTCTGAAACTTTTTTCATCCAGAATTCTCAAGCAATACGATCATCCCAATATTGTCAAACTTATAGGCGTTTGCACACAAAGACAGCCTATCTACATCATCATGGAACTGGTTCCAGGTAATGATTTTAGAGGTTTCCTCGATGATGTTGTAATGTCATGTTTTATTATTTTTATATGTTCAGTCTCTTTGATTTCTCCTTGAAAAGTTTTCAGCAATTCTGTTTAACATTTTCCTGATGACAAAGAGCTGTGTATATGCCCAATATTTTTATAGTCTTTAATACTTTGCTGTTATATAGAAAATGTCATCCACCTGTTTTTTGGAGGGGAGATATATTATTATAGTGCAATTACACATGGAATTTAGTTAGGTATATTTTTGTTAGAAAACCTGTTTATAAAAATAGTCTACTTGGTTTAACTTTATAACAATGATAGTACTATCTTCTATCTTGTTCATTGTATATTATTTTCCAAGTATAATACCACACATCCTCTTGTTTGGCTGCATATAAAATTCCATAGTGCTTTGAATCCCTTATCAACTATGAACATCTTTCATAAGTGAACAAAGAAAAATTAATATGTTGAGGAATTTTTCCTATATTTCTTTATGGTGACTTTGAACACCTCTGGGTTTTGTGGTTAACCACTTTTGCCAAAAAGCAAGGATAACTTTGAACTTATAGTGTGTATTTTTAAGTTACTTTCACTGTATATCATCCTGTTGTAGAAAATATCATTAGAGGTAAAATTTGATCTTGGTAAAATTTATAAATGTAATATTTAATAATAAATACTTGCTTTAACTAGTATTTATGCGTTTTAAAAGAAACTTAAAGGAATATGAAAAATATTTCTAACTTTAATCTACATTAGATAAACCTGATATTATAGATTGCCAATTAAATATTGCTCACACAATTCTGCTATTATTTATGGATAGTTAGTCTCATTTTTATCACACTGGTTTGCCTGCTACGGAGTAGTTCTTGATATTACCATATAACTGCAGGATTTAGGATTATCATCATCTTCATCCTCATCAGGATAGCACTGTTATATACACTGTATGTTATTTATGATCTATATCATAAGTAGTTTCAATATAGTTATGAAAAATGCTAGAGTACAGTCTAAAATTTTGAAAACAATTGAATTGCTTATAGTTTTAATTAAGTAATATCATAGGGGTGCCTGGGTGGCTCAGTTGGTTGACTGTCCGACTTCCGCTTAGGTCATCATGTCGTGGTTCATGAGTTCAAGCCCCACATTGGGCTCTGTGCTGACATCTCAGAGCCTGGAGCCTGCTTCAGATTCTGTGTCTCCCTCTCTCTCTGCCCCTCCCCACTCATGCTCTGTCTGTCTCTGTCTCAAAAAAAAAAAAAAAATCACATACATGAAGTCCCCAGTTAATAGGGGATGTCTCTGAGAAACTGAGATTTGAAAGGTGGGGCTGAGTTGATGAGGAAAAGTGATCTTGGTCTTAGCATGGATGACAAATGCCAGATAGCAGGTACAAGTTGAACAAAAGAATATAGCATTGCAGGAGTGCCAGGGAAGTGTTCATCTGACACTGACAAATAACTTATATTGATGTTTTTAAAAGAATAAGAAAAATAAGCCCCATTAGAAAATTGAAAGTGTAATGGAAAATAGAAAATTAAAAATGAAGATCTCCCACTTAATAATCTAAGCCTGTCTCAAAGCTAGTTGATAACTAAGTATATGCGTGTGTTTCCAGGAAAATGTTTAATGTATAAAAACATACTCTTAAACTTTTCAGATCTTTTTTCTCTTAATAGTATAACTTAGGGTCTCATTGTTTGATATTTATCCATGTAGTTATATCTTTTTTTTTTGTAATGGTTTCAGAATATTCCATTTTATGGATTTATGTAATTTAATCAGTCTTCCACTTAGGGAGACTGTGTGTGTGTGCGATATATATATCAACGTTGAATGAATATATTTGGACTAATAACATAATCATTTTGAACTATATAGGGTGCATTTTCAGCAATGGGATTGTAGGTTGCAAGTGTATGTGCATTTTGATTTATAATAAATGTATTAGCTTTCTATTGCTGCATAACAAATGATCACAGCTTAGCAGCTTTAATCAACATGCATTTATTACCTCACAGTTCTATGGATCACAAGCATAGGCAATATTGATTGGGTTAACTGCTCAGGGTATCACAAAGCCCAAAATCGGGATTTCAGGCTGAGTTCTTATCTGGAGTCACTGGGAGGAATTGACTACTAACCTGCCTCTGTTGTGGCAGAATCCTGTTCCTTGAAGCTGAGAAGTGGTCTAAGTTGCTTTTATTGCTTGCTGTCAGCTGAAGGCATCTCTCATCTCCTTAAGGTTTCTACACTGTTTTTCCCATGGTCCCTCCATCTTCAGACTCAGCATAGTCATATCTTTCAAGTGTTTTTGATTTTTTTAAACTTACTCTTCTGTTATCAGCGGGAGAATATTCTCTCCTTTTTTGAAAGAAGAGAATGCCATATGACAACATAATTAGGGAAGTGATAACTGTGTTCACATGATCCAGGACTTAGGGTAGGCGATTGTTGGGAAGCCATATTCTAATTCTACTTCAGCACAGTACATTTTGCTAAATTTTTCAAAGATTAGTTGCAGCATGGAATCTGAAACCACAGTGATAAACTTTTCATACTCTCTTACACTAACTCCATTGCTTGAACTTGGAATTTGAATGTATCTTTTATCTGTGCATGATTCTGTAGCATCATGCTTCATCATTTAGAATATATCAGGTGACCAGGTTATACATATAGATCCTCAAAAAGGTGACATGATTCATTATATAACATCAAAAGATCACATTTATTAATGTCAACAGTAGTCTCATCAGACAAATAATGGGAAGCTATCAAGTACATGGTGACAAATATGTGTTTTCTAAAATCTTAATTGTCACTGTAAAGTTTGGATTTTATCACTGGCAACAAAACCTGTCATTTTTTTCCCCTTGAAGTGTCACGTTTACTTCATTTATTTGGGAAAATGTGGGTCCAATATCTAATTTTTAATAAGCATAATTTGTCATTCTTTTTGAAAACCACTTTGATACAATAACAACTTTTATAGGATACTTGATTGTCTGTGTATGGACTTAGTTATACCCTTCTCTACACCCTGTCTCAGGTAATCACTGATTTGCCTTCTGTTGCTTTATTAGTTTGTATTTCTAGAATTTTGTATAAATGAAATCATACAGTCTATACCTTTTTTTTATTTTTTTAAAATTCTGGTCTGGTTTCTTTCATTTAGCATAATTATTTTGAGATTCAGCCATTTTGTATCAATAGTTTCCTTTTTATTGCTGAGTAGAGTGACCTCAGGAATATACCACCGTTTATCTATTCAGCTACTGATAGACTTTTGAGTTGTTTCTTTTCTGGGCCTACTGCAAATGAAACTGCTAAAAATAGTTATGTACGAGTCTTTGTAATGGACATGTGCTTTTATTTCTCTAGGGAAGTTACTAGGAAAGGGATGAATGAATAGTACGGAATATGCATGTTTAAATACTTAAGAAACTGCCAAATTGCCTTTTAAAGTGATTATACTAGTTTGCCTTCCCAGCAGCAGTGTTCTCTTTTCATCAACTCAGACTGGTCAGTCTTTAGCCATTCTAATATTTATGTAGAAATGTCTTAATGTAATTTGTCTTTCCTGACTAAAGATGTTGAGCATCTTTTCATGTGCTAATTTGCCATTCATGTATCTTCTTTGGTGAAATGTCTATTCAAACCATTTGCCCATTTGTAAAAATTGGGTTGTTTGTTACAATTGAGTCTTGGTTCTTAACATACTTTAGATACAAATCCTTTATCAGAAATGTTATTTTTCAAATATTTTCTCTTGGTCTGTGTTTTATCTATTCATTATCTTAAGTGTCTTTTGGAAAGCAGAAGTTTTTAATTTTGACAAAGTTTAAATTACCAAATTTTTTTTCAAAGATCATGTTTTTCATGGTACATAGAAGAAAGTTTTGTCGACCCCAAGATCATACAGGTTTTCTTTTATGCTTACTTCTATGTGTTTTATAGTTTAAGAATTCACATTTGAGTCTGTGATCCATCTCAAGTTAATTTTTATATATGCTGTAAAAAATGGCTTAAGTTTATATTTTTGACATATGGATATGCAGTTCTTCCAGCACCACCTGTTTAAATTACTATCTTTTTTTCCCCTTATGGTGTTTCCCTCACCTACCTTGTTACATGCACTTTCATTTTAATTTTATGTGTAGGTCTTTTTCTGGACTCTTCTTTTCTGTTGATTCTTTTGTTTGTCTTCATACCAATACAACACTGTGTTAATTACTGTAGCTTTATAATGTCTTGAAATCAGGTAATGTAAGTGCTATAATTTGTTTCTTCATCGTTTGGGCTATTAGAGGCCCTTAGCATTTCCATATCAGTGTTAGTGTTCTTATATAGTTCAAGAGTTACTATATAAAGGTTTGCTGGCATTTAGGTTGGTATTGTACTGAGTCTGTAGATCAACTGGGGGTAAATAGATGGATTAACATTATTGTGTTTTCTGACCCATGGACATGGTATATCTTGCTAGTAAGATCTTTAACTTCTCTAAGCTAAGTTCTGTAGAGTTGAGTATAGAGGACTTTCTGTCTTCTGTCAGACTTATCACTGAGTATTATTTTTTTGTGATGCCATAGTAAGTGATCTTTAAAAGTAAATTTTATTTAAAAAGTATACCCACTAAGGAAGTTATAGAAGATTTGAATAACACTGTCAGTCAACCTAACCTACTGACATAAATAGGACATTCCATACATCATCACCCGAAAATACAATTCTTTTAAGTACACAGAGAATATGTACTAAGATAGCCCATATTCTGGACTATAAAACAAGTCCCAACTAATTTATAAGTATTTTAAATTATGTACATGTAATAAAAATAGAGCTCAAAGACAAATCTCTGAAAAACCTCTAAATATTTGGAAACTACACAATGTGCATCTGAATAACCAGTGGGGCAGAGTGGAAATCAAAGTGTTTTGAGCCTGAATGCAAATGAAAACGCAACATCTCAGTATTTATATACTGCCTA